GAGAGAGAGCCCTCAAATGCAAGGGTAAGCAATTTAGGCTCCACTGGCAATGATCACAGGAGTCAGGGTGTGAGAGAAGTGTCGAGCAACTCCTGTTGAGGAGCAGCATGCAGCACTGCCCTGGAAAGTAAGAAACTCACTGGGGACATGGTTTGTGTCTGGATGGCCCCCCAAAACCTCCTGCAGTCATAGGTGGGGCTTTTTCAGAGATGGCTGAAAAAGACTGATTGATTCATGATGCAATGCTAGGATTAAGGGTTCTAGGATTTAGGATTGTAATTGTTAAATCAGTGCATTGATTGGCTTGGCACTGCCCTAATCCCGGTAAACTGGATATAATATAAGGGACAGAAAGGGGTTTGTCCCCCCCCTTGCTGCTTTGCTACCATCTGCCTGCCATGAACTGTTCTCTGCCAAGTCAATCTGTCTTGGAGCCAGCTGATTATGGGCCGAAACCTCTATAAACTGTTAGCTAAAAGGCTGGGCCTGGTGGTGCACACCTGTAATCCCAGCACTCATGAGGCTGAGGCAAAAGGACTGTTGTGTGTTTGAGACCAGCCGCAGCCTCAAAGTGAGCACAAGGCCAGCCTGAGCTGCATAGCAGACTCTGTCTCAAAAAGAAAACAAAACAAACAAACAAAAAAATCCCCTGTAAGCTAAACCTTTATCCCTTAACTGTGGGCATCTGGTATTTTGTCTTAGCAACAAGAAAAGTAGCTAAGACTACTGGGAAGCTCCTAGTACTAGATATAAATGTCTGAAATGCATTGCCAGATGGAGGTGGACTTGACTCTCTTGTAGGCTTGTCTCTTTTATGAAACCCTTTCTCTCTTCTTTCCTTGGACCATGTAATTAAGACAACTCATGAACAAGCATCAAAGTAGTCTGGAGGCCCTGTGACATCTGTCAGGGAAGAGCATTCTGAGTGTACAGTGGAAGTGCATCACAGGGAGCGTTGTGCCCCCCGCATTGCTACTCAGAAGCAGGGTTTCATAGCAAGTGGTAACACGGAAGATGCTTTTCCAGCACGGATGATGGCAGGCTAGAACATACGGACTATAGTTGGCCAAGCATCTGTGCTGCCCCCCCTCACCATGCGATCTTAGAGAATACACTCTCTGTAACTAGGGAGGTAACCCACATTCAAAATCAGGGTTTGACTGATGGGAAACTGTTAAATGTAAAGAAAGTAGGGTGCAACGCACCTGTGCCTTTTCACGGGTTTTAGTAACATCATGTAAGAAAAGAAATTACAAAGTGTCCGTAGGCAAGCATTTGAGAGCTCCTAACCTAAGAGGAGAGCTGTGAAATATAGGAATATGTGACTAGGAAAATTACAGAATTTATTCATAAGATTTCATTATACAGAACAGATTTTGATTTTCTTAAACTATTTTGGGTAGAGGAAGATACCAGATAAGTTATCATCTTTCACATTGTAAATTTGTGAGTTTGTATGTCTGTTATCTAATGAAGCCAAAGGACCTATACTCACCTATCTTCCTGCCTGCCTGCCTGCCTGCCTGCCTCTGTCTGCTTTCCTTCTCCCCTGTCCTCTCTTCCTCCTCCTCATCTTCCTGTCACCCTC